TTCTTTCCTCATGTACTTCCATATTTCTGCCTGGTTTCATATTCCTTCTCCCTGGAGAAATCCCTTTAATCTTTTGTATAGTACAGGTATACAGTTAATAAATTTATCTCAGCTTGTTTTTAGGGGTCATGTCCCCTTCATACTTGAAAGATATTTTTGCTGTTCATGGAATTCTTTGACACTTATTTCAGCATTTTAATCACGCTGCTGCATTTAGGTTGGATTGTCTTTGGTTTTCAGTAATTTGGATATGATGTACCTAAGTGTGAGGTGTTTTTTGTTTTTCATTCTGAGGGGTGGCTTTGGGAGTCTCTCTGAGGTGGGTGGATCTGTTGTTTGGTTCTTTGATTATTTATAGAAAATGCTCAGCTTTTACCTCTTCAGATACCTCTTTTGCCCATTCTTTCTCTTTTCTCCTTCTGGGGTGTCAGTTACATGTATATTAATGCATTTCATATGTTACAGCCCTTGTTTGATTTTTCTTCTTTCTCTTTCTGAGTTTAATGTGCATAATTTTTATTAACCTATCCTAAAGTTTACAGTTCTTTCCTCAGCTCTGTCCAGTTTACTGTTAAGCCATCTAAAGGATCCTTCACAGCTCTTTCTGCCTTTTCAAATTCTAGCATTACCATTTGTCACTTTCTTACCCTTTACAACTCTGCTGAAATTCCCCATCAATTCAAACCATAGGTTTTGTAGATCATAGTTCTTTTAAATTTCCTCTTTGATGTGTGTATTTGCAATATCTTACATCTCTGAGTCAGATTCTGCTGTTTACTTTGTCTCTTGGCTGGAGATGAGTTGTTTAACTTGCCTTTTGTATGAGTCTCATACATTTTGATTGAATGTTGGGCATTGTATTTAAGAACATAGGGCCAGATGTAAATTGTATGGAAATAGGCATGCCTTTTTGTCTGTTGAAAAGGAGAAGTAAACTTTTCCATAAAATGTAAAAAGATAATAGATATTTTTTACTTTGCAGGCCATACGGTCTCTGAACTGTAACTTACTTGATATTAATACACTTGCTCCCTGAAAGTGGCACCTTAGCACATGGAGGGCCAACTGTTATTGAATCTACAGATGGGGAACTCTGAGGAAACACAGGACCAACTGTACTTTCTATTTTATAAGGGACTTGAGTAACCATGGATTTGGGGTGAGGAGGATGGTCCTGAAAAACTAACCCCTACCCCCACCAGAATGTGGAAGCCACCTGTAAAGGTGCCTCTGCTTCCTTTTGATTTATGGTCACATAGGTGTATCTTGTCCATCTTTTTGCTTGTGACCTAACTGTACTTGAAGGGAGCTCTATTGAAAGTTTCTTGAGGATAGCGTAGTTGAGTTATGTGTTTTTTATTCACTCTGCCAAATCTTTGGGCTTTACTATGTTTAGATCACTTGCAACTCGTGTAGTTATTGATGTGTAACAGCTATTTTACTTTGTTTTGTTTTTTCCTGTTTTTCATCTATTTTCTCTTTTTTCCTGCCTTCCTATAGAAACTAAGACTATTTTTTAGAATTTCATTTTGATGTATCTATGGTATTTTTGTGTGAATCTTTTTGTATAATTTGCTCTTGTTACATTGTACATATATAGTTTATCACAGTCTAGTAGTGTTGACATTTTACTGTTCCCATGACTTGTAGAAATGTTCCTCCCTTTAAATCCCTCTGCCCACCTTTGTAAGTACACTGTCTTACATATTCCTTTATGTACCTTGAAGAACCACACCCATCAAACAGTGTAGAGGACTGAGCGAAGGGAAGCCTGTTGTATATATACTCCTATTTTTGTTCTTCCCCTTGCTCTTTCTTCCAAGAGGTTCACTAATTGCTTCCTGTGAGTTTTGCTGTCTTATAACTATTTTATGTTCAGATTCCCAGAAAGCGTTAACTCTGAGGAAATAGCAACAAAACCAGAGTCTATGTATCCATAAATACGAAGATTGAAATGACGGTATAGAAAAGTGAGGTCATTGTCTGAATGACTAGTCACTTTTCTTGTAGTTGATACAACCCTACCACTACTTTAGACCTTGTAAAACTCTAATGCTTTAGGTAATAGGATGATGAGAATACAAATTAGGACCTATTTACTGGGAAGCTGGATAAGCTCCAATGTCTCTCTAGATTAGTGAATCTATAACTTATTATGTGAAATTCCTAATTATCACCATACTAAATTCAAAAGATTTCGACTCAAATCCTTTCATAATTCATAAACACAATTGTAAAATTCTTGACAGAAATAATCTTGAAGAGCTTTTCCACATGATGTTTCTAATACTGTCATAATTTTAAAGCAATTACTCTTATTTTGATTAATTCTGTTGCAAGGGGAAAAATATTGACTGTGTTGGGGTTTTTCTTTCTTTACAAGGCACAAGACCTAAATGTCATCGAAGAAGTGATTCGAATGATGTTAGAGATCATCAATTCCTGCCTGACAAATTCCCTTCACCACAACCCAAACTTGGTGTATGCACTGCTTTACAAACGGGACCTCTTTGAACAGTTTCGAACTCATCCTTCGTTTCAGGATATAATGCAAAATATTGATCTGGTAAGCATAAATGGAGTTATTTAGTACCCTTTTTTTAATTTTGACCAAGGCTGGGTTTGAACCCACCACCTCCGGTATATGGGGCCAGTGCCCTACTCCTTTGAGCCATAGGCGCTGCCCTTAATACCATTCTTTTTTAAGTATTAAAGCAAAAGTTAAATTTAAGAACCCTTGGTGAGAGCTACAGTAGTAAGAGTCCCTTCTTTCAGCATTAACTCTGTTTGCAGTCTGTTTTGCTTTAACAGCTGTATTTTGTGTGTGTATCCGTTATTTACGCACACATACATATTTAATGGAAACGAGGTCAGGGTTCATTTTATACAGTTCTGTAGCCTGCCATTTTTACTTAACTTTAGATCTGCAACATTTTTCTGATGTTGATGATCTTCAACATCAATTCTTTGACAATCTCACATTTTAATTTCTATCTAGCTTAAATTGTCAATGTCCTAAAATATATTTAACCATTATCCCATTATTGCTTCTTATTTCCAGTGTTTTATACCAATTCATAATTAGTGAACAATTTACAAATAAATCTTATCCCGCATTTTTAAATTATATTTTTGAATTGTTTTAAAACTGGAATGTTACTAGTTTTTACTGTCAGAGAGTACCTTTCTTTTTCTTTTTCTTTCATTTTTTAACTTTTATTTTCAAGGTTGAACACAGGTTTCCAAATTGCTTTCCAAGAACAATATACAAGCTATGCATCTGTATATCATCTTATGCATCCATAGTAACCTGTGAGAGGGTCTACTTCACTATACTTTTGCAGCTTTGAGCTTTATAATTATTTTAAAACTCGTCTTTATAGCAAAAATGATACTTCATCCTGATTTTATTTTAATCTCTTTAATTACTACTGTGGCTGAACACTTTTCACCGTTCTGTAAACTTTTACTTCCTGTCCTTTTCAAAAATATTTTTTGCTGCATTTTTATCACTGTGTTAGTGTTTTCTGATTCAATTTGGTTCCATAAACATTTCTCAAATAGCTAATATGATTCACAGTGCTGGGCTCTTGAGTAAACAGAAGAGGCAACATCCTGTCCTTGTGTTACTTACATGTGGAAAGACATCCAGTTATTAAATGATCACACAAACATAAATATATAATTGTAATAATAAGTACACGAATGTATTTACCTTTCTCTGGGGTGTTTGCTCAATCGTCAAGTTGTTGGATGGCATGTGTCATGCCAAACCATTTTTCATGGGATGCTGTCATTTTATACTCCAGCCAGTGGTGTGTGAGAATTCCTATTACTTCACGTCCTGTTAAACACTATGTTTTTAACATAGTGTTTTTTGTAATGACATCTCACTATAGTTTTAATTTGTAATTCCTTGATTGCTGATGAGGGGATTGCGTCAATGCGTCCTGTCAAACACTATGTTTTTAACATAGTCAGTTTTATAATGACGTCTCTATAGTTTTTTTTTTTTTTTTTTTTTTTGAGACAGAGCCTCAAGCTGTCCCCCTGGGCAGAGTGCCGTGGCATTACAGCTCACAGCAACCTCCAACTCCTGGGCTCAAGCGAGTCTCCTGCCTCTGCCTCCCAAGTAGCTGGGACCACAGGCGCCCGCCACAACGCCCGGCTATTTTTTGGTTGCAGCCATCATTGTTGTTTGGCGGGTCCAGGCTGGGGATTCGAACCCGCCACCTTAGGTGTATGTGGCTGGCGCCTTAGCCGGTTGAGCTATAGGCGCCGAGCCTATAGTTTTAATTTGTAATTCCTTGATTGCTGATGACGATAAGCACGTTTCATACGTTTTGGGAGGGAGCATTTCAGTTTCCTCTTTTGGGAAGTGCCTGTTCAAGCCTTTTGCCAGTTTTTTTTTTAATTGAGTTATTTATCTTTTTCTTGCTAATATTATATTTGTAATTATCCTGTTATGTTCTAGATTCTAGACCTTTCTTGGCCATGTATTGCACGTACCCAATCACTAACATGGCTACAGACTTTCTGATAGAACTCTAAAACTCTTCTCAAAATGGTCAGACAGACCAGACAGTTGTCTCATTCCAGTCTTTCTTTGGAGACCTGCTTCCTGCCACACTCGTTTATGTTGATTCTCTCCACAGCTGCTGAGTCCCAGGACTTTCCTTCACTGCTGTCCTTTGGTTGCACCTGGCTCCTGTAGCTTCCTCTTTCTCTGCTTTGTGTTGATGGAGTATATACTATAGTAGCTTTCTGAGAAGAGGTTTATGTGAGATAGATTTTTTTTTTAATTGTTGGGGATTCATTGAGGGTACAAGAAACCAGGTTACACTGATTGCATTTGTTAGGTAAAGTCCCTCTTACAATCGTGTCTTGCCCCGAAAAGGTTTGGCATACTCTGAGACCCCACCCTCCTCCCTCCTTCTCTCTTTCTGCTGTGAGATAGATTTCTTTTTATATTCTTTAATTTCTCATGTCTGAAATGTGAGCTTCTTCCTCTATTTACATATGATACGTTCTCTCTGAAAGCTTTTCTGGTCTCTTTTCCTTGCGTTCTAAAAAAATGAAAGTTTTATGTAATTAAAAGAAAAATAAATAAAATTTCATGATCTGGTATATATTGGATAATTGTACTGGGTACTTGGAGGGCTTTTTTAGTCTAAAGACTTACGCTTAGTACTATCAAATATTCTTTTAAATGATTTCCTCCCTGCTACTTCTTTTCTATAACTCTTCTTAATTAAATGGCTGTTTCCTTTAGAAGCCCCTTAATATCAGTATCAGTTAAACCTTATGTCTTGGGTTGGTCAGTGTCCTTAGGTTAGAATCCTCCAGGCTCCTGCCTAGAGTATATAAGCCAATCTGTTGGGGTTTAAAAGCTGAGATTGAAAGCCGGGGACAAGTTGGAGATGGGGAGTGAGGGTGGAGAGTGGTCTCTAAGCGAAAACCTCCTGTTGGCTCTCAGGGTGGCAGCAATACACAGGTTCTGATCGAATTTCAGGCACTGAAGAATGTCTTTGTTCATTTTTATAAGCTGATTTCCCAAAGTAGGTTAAAATTTTGCTCATCCCCGTAGAATCTTATGTAATTGTTAGGTACATAGCTGAAACCAGCTTTGGGCCATAACTAGCCTCCTCTTCTAGACTCTTAGCACATAGGTTGTATCAACTGGTGAACACTCTAGAATCCACACAACTACATGCGAATTTAACTACAGTTGAGTGTAGTTTTGCAAATCTCTTCATTGATTTGTTCCATATTACTGCTGTTTCATGATTACTGGTAAACAGAAATTAATAATTTAAAAGAACGCTTTACTGTCAGCCTGATTAGTGTTTTTTGGCTTTCCTAAACGTGCTTCAACTACATCTCTAAGGGTTGCAGCCACACATACTCTCATCATTTTCTTAAACTTACATCAATATCACTTAGGTATCATTAGCAGAATTGAGGAATGTGGGTACAGTCAAGATAAGGAAGAAATATCATTTCACACAGCACGTTTGTTTTTTAAACTTGGCATTTCTAGACAAATCTTTAAGTTCTCACTATTATGAACCAGTACGCCCATGAGGATTTGTTGACATTTAGGGTCTGAGAGCATCCTCAAGCTGCTTCTCAAGTTCCCGTGTTGTTCTTGTTAACTCTGGGTCCACCAGGCATGAGCGTCTCCTAAAATTGGCAAACATTTAGTATTAACAAGTTCACAAAACAAATTATTACCCAAAGGACATCCATTGCAAGTCATCTTTGTCTTTTGTGGGATAAATGATTTGTGACAACTGAGTAGACTGGTTTATAGCCTAAGAATTAATGCTGTGTGTTTTGATAGAAGGCAAGAATGTCGAGACACCAGGCAGTAAGGACTCTTTACCATGGAAAAGTAGAGTCCATGGGAGTTGATCCCAACTCTCAAAGAAACTACCCAGAACTCAGGCACAGCCTTTATCCATTCCTCTTAACAGTTATTCTTACCAGAAGTCTTAAAAATTATAATGTTGAACAGAAATTGTTTTTCCATAGGAAGGTAACTTTATAGGCTAGCTATTTACTTATTTCTAAAAAGCTACTTCTGACCATTCTATTCATGGATTTGTCCAAATTCATTTCTATTTCCTGCTATACCATTTTTTCAAAGTAAAATACTGAGTTTAAGATTCATTATGCTTGTGAGTAAAGGCTTAACCAAACTCTCTCCCCTTTTACATGAGAAGTCGACTTTGTGTTAAGCTGCTTCTATCTTAGTTCCCTGGAAATTTAATGAAGGTGGAATGTCAGCTGAGTTACCAGGCAACAGTGCTATGATAAAATGATATGATAATCTGATATTTGATTGGTAAGTTGAGTCTGGACCAGGAGAACTATGAATGAACTGTAAATACTTGGCAAGAAGTCATAGCTTTGTTCTTCTCTGAGTGAGAGAACTCTTATAACCAGGCATGTCCTTTACAAGGACCTGGGAGCTGAGACTGCCACAGAGGTCTTGGTGTCTATTTGGGTCCTGGTTTCTAAGCTAGTGGCTATTGCATCCACCACCACTGGTCTTTCTTCTCCATGTAGAGTGGTCATTTGGGAAACCAAAGACTAGCTCCCAAACTACTGTAAAGTTTCCTAAGAAAAACAAAATCTTATGGCTGCTGACGGCATGCTATTTTTCTTGTTCTTTTATCTTTTTAAATTAATCAGGTGCCAGGTGTGACCTATTATAGTTTTTAAAATCTTGATGTCTAATTGGGCCTAAGAATATCACCCAAGAGTAGGCAGTGTAATGTTAAAATAGTATTTTCTTGTATTTGTTTATAAATGTATCTCTTTCAAGTTCTGGGGTGGGGGATATTCTTGGTTTTCCAAGGTTTATCCAGGTCCTTATGTTACAGAAATATCCAATATGACTCTTTCCAGCTTTCATGTTTCTGAACTCTGTCATCCCATTTATTTTAGCCTGTACCATGGAAGTCCTTTATCCCGTCCACACTAACTTTTGCCTTTCTGTGGACCTCTCTGATTCCAATTTCTTTTTTCATCTTTCTTTCTTCCTGTCTTTCTTTCCCCCAC